AATCATGGCCTCCTAATAACCCCCCTCTATGAATTGGCTTCATTGCTCTCCTCCCCACTGATAGCTGATGTGTGGTGAGCGTTCTGGCGCACTATGACTGCCGTTGCATTATCCAGGTGGATGCTACACATTGGTGGTGGTGGAGGGGAGTCCCCATTACCTGTAAAGCGCTTTGAGTGGAATGTCAAGAAAAGCGCTATATAAGTATAAGCAATTATTATTATTATTTACTGAAGCACTCTGAGTTGCCAACACCAGTGACAAGGTATCTCAGCCCTATGGTCAAGGTTTGATGTTATCTGAGTTACTAAAAGCAGTATTACCAATGTATGGGTTTAAGAGATCATGAATGTGAAGTATACCCTGTCTGCTGAAATAGTATTTTTCACATACAAATTATCCATCAAACTGTAAAGGGTTTTGGCAATCTCTAAACTTTCTCTTTGCAAAGCTTAAGTGTCAACTCAATCCCTAAGGAAAGGTGATGTAATGCTTTCCAGTAAATCAGGGACTGACTGGTACTGTAGATGAGACAAACTCTGAACTACGAAGTCAGGCTAAGTTTGAATTAACCTACCCTGAGAAGGTTGGAATAGAAGATGTGGTGCAATAGTCACTTAACTGGAAACAATTCAGTCTTGCTTTGTGAAAATGAAAAGCCAGAGTTTTGCTAACATATTAAAGTTCTCCAGCTACTGTAACTGAATATTTTCTCTGTTTTGAAACAGCCCGATAAATAGTAGATTAATCCACACATCAGTACATTATGCTGTTTGTTTTTAATGTGTCTGAGGCATGGTGATTGATCAAGGATAAATTCAAATTTCCAGCTTTGTTTAATAGCCTTGATCATGAAGATATTTCTGCCAATGGTGACTGCAAAGAAACAAAACACAACACACTAACAGGCATCCTATATAGAGTTGCTTATACCTTAAGCACGAAGCGTTAGGTTAGGAAATTTCATGTCAAAGATGCATACTGTATCAATCACCTAGCATCAATTCTTATCAAATTGTAACATTTTAACATTGTTATTTAACAAATGAAAAAATGCGTTCTCTTTTCCTTTAAAAGAAACTAATGTAAATTAAAACAAATGTAATTAAAACTAAGGGTTGAATCTTCACATCCAAATGGAAAATCCATTAATTTACATATCGTCAGTCATCCTCTGTCACAGTTTCCTTTCCCTTCCATTAAAACAACATACAATATACAACATTTTGCTATTAATAAAATAGACTGGAGTAAAAATGTATTTTTCTCCAAAACCTTCAAAGCCTCTTGTCCAGACATATACAATAGAATGCTAGGACATACTTGTAACTTGTAAGTGAGCATTTCTGAAGTGAAGCAATGACAAATGTTCCTTCAAAGGTCTTGTATTCAACATACTGGCATTCAGCCTCTTTGACGATTCTTTCTTCTCACCTGAAGCTAATTGTTGCTGCACCACTGACCTTACTTTCAAAAAAGGGCAACATTTTCCCTTTTTATTATCACCCAGAGCCCTAAACCAAACCCGGTTACCTACAATAAAACAGCAATAAAATCTTCATTTGTTCAGTATATTGATTTAGGACTTTTTCCCCTTTGCATAATTTCACATTTCATACATTACACCCAGAGCGAATAAGTTCATTTCTAATTTGAAAGTGTTAGAAATGTTCCAATGAATAAACTTACATTTTCAGTTCAAAACCCAAGGTTCACCTTTGAGGCTTCATTTGTTTGTAAGTGTATATAAATTCTACAGTGGTTGTATATCATTTCAGAATTATAAATTCTGATCAGATACACCTTCATTTATAAAAACAATACTTGTTTGAAAGCACTTGTCTACTCCTCATTTTCTGAACATCCATAGACAGTATATAAAATAATGCCTGTGGAAGACTTAGATTGTACTGACATTCAAAATTATGATGCTGACATTTAATGTATGAGGCAGATGAAGAGAAAGGCCATATTAATCAACTATCAAGCAGGCATTTATCAGTCACTTTATCTAAGCTCCTGTACCCTTGGGACACATTTTCAAACTAGAAGTGGGATTTATTCTTTGTTCACTTCCTTTGCTCTCTGTGCCTTGTAGTAGGAGGAGAAAGAGCTTTTCTTCACTGTCCATGAATTAGAATTACTCACGTCCATCATCAGTGCGGGCCTCCATGTGTACCAGATCTGACTCCTTGTCTAACCCAATTACAGACCTGTGGTGGAAGAGAAGGTGGACAAACAATGAGGAAAAGGGCCTTTGGAGAATTCAGCCCCAGTAATTGACAACTTTATTTGTGTCCCCTTGATCATCACCACAGACACTTCACATTCCCATTGCTCTCAACTGAATCCAATCTTCATCCCCCATCTGGCAGCAATTTATCATGGTTTCTCATTGTATAAAACAAAGTGGGTGGTAGGAGTAAAAACAAACACTACAAGCAAGTAAAAGTTTCGGATGCTTCGGAGATGTTTTGCATCACATGATCCTATTCCACTCATGCTTAAATTCTAACAAAACACAAAGCTCACAAAGCTTTTGCTATTTATTCACTTTCAAATCATATAGAAGTCTGATGTACGCAAGTACGACAGAGACACCTCTTTTAGCCACAGGCCTCCTGAGCAGATTTATTTGCTTAAAAGAAATGGATTTACAATTAATCTGACATTCCTGCAACAAAGCACACAGCAAAAGAAATCCTGTATTAAAGCGACAGACAGCAGCTCTTTGATTCAGAAGCCCGACGTTCAGAAGATATTTTTATATTTTAAAAGCATTTTTTTTTTAAGAGAGAGGATGTTAACTACAATTTCTTGTCCTCACCCCATTTGGTTGGATGGGGATGGATAGAACTTAATTTAAAGTTTTGTGATTTAGTTCACATTCAGTTCACTGTGTTTCATGTTCTTATATACAGTAGATTGTGTAAATAGGTATCACAGGGGTCAAATGATCACAATTTTGAGGGTTATGGTGTGTTTCAAGAGCAAGTAGTCATAAAACTGCTGTTTGATTCTGTAAAGTAGAGGGATATTGTTAAAACAGCAGGAATCTGTTTAGACAGTTCTGTTTTTTAGCAATGTGAAAACTGACACCTAATTAATATTCAAATATATTGCAAATATGTTTGAAATTTGCAAAAATACATAAAATATCAAATATAAGTTGAAAAGAAACAAATACAGATTAATTTTACACTGAAAACACATGCATTTTAAAATAGACGTGATTCACAGCCAGAACATTATGTATTTTACAGCACTTATGCATGACGGAAGAGTGGCAAACTAGAAATTATCTAGGCCATTCATATATTTACAGTAGACCATAGTTATGATGCAACAGCTGCATACATTCTAATTTATTTACAATTCTTGTAACCCTGCTGGTATCGTGAAGTATGTAGATGTTATATCTTCATAGATTTATAGTAATGGCTTACCAGATTACAATCCTAAATATGTATTTTTAAATCCCTTAAGGGTGGTACTGTGGGACAGTGGACAGACCTGGAGCCCTGGGTTCAAATCTGGAACTTGTGTACTGTCTGTACGGAGTCTGTACATTTCACCCGTGTTTGTGCAGATTTCCTCTGGGTGCCCCAGTTTCCTCCCACTGTCCAAATACATAATGGTAAATTAATTATTCTGGCCTTCTGGGAAAATTGGCCCTGATGTGTGTGTGCTTGTACAAGTATTGTATGTAGTCTGTGTGTGCCCTGTGATAAACTGGCATCCCATTACCTTTGGGTATAGGCTGTGGTTCCCCTGCCACCCTGTATTGGAATATGAACCGGATATGAAAATGAATGGGTGGATACATTTTTAAAAACTGCTAGTTGAAACACAGTAAACAGAGGCAACATAGGGAAAAGAAAATGAGAGATTATTTATAATAGTTCAGATCTTAAAGTTATTTTTAAAGTTATGGAATGGGGAGAAATAATTTTGTGAAGTACATGCTTAATTCTGTGAAAGACAAGTTCTCTGAAGAATTTCACAGGGAATCTCCACCCCTTTAAGAAGCTTAAGAAATTATTGCATTACAATTGCATTTTTTTAAAAGTCAACACCACCAAAAGATCAATGTTTTGAAAGCTTTTACAAAATTCTAAAGAGAAAGAAGTGTATAACAGTAATTTTCCAAAAAGTAAAATTGTTAAAATTATTTTTTGTGAAAATGTCAAGTTCATAGAAAGGGATGGTGTTTTTAACAATAAAATGCATAATTTGTGTATTGTTCATTACTCTCTAAATTATTGTACTGTATGAGGAGACGACAGATTTAGGCAGGATGTCAACTCTCTGTCTGAGCCATATTCCCCAGTATACTGTGGGGAATGAATGGTTACCATTAGTCACCAGACCATCAGAGAAAACAATTGCTCAGGTGATTATTTAAAAAGCAGGAACACGGGGTTTACAGTATGTAGTTTGTTTGATCTGCCGTATGGAGATCTATAGCTGAAACTATTTGGTATGATATCACAGGTGGGAAAAGTGATGGTGAAATTGTGAGTTTTTGAAAAATATTTTGGAAGAGTTTAATGTGAGTCTTGAAGTCAAACTTAGTTTTTAGATGTTTTTGAGACGTTGGACCTCATAGTGAAAGCCAGTAAGCAATGTAGCCGCCCACCTGGTGTGTTGTAGGGAATGTGCAGAAGACTTTAGCTAGCACCTTAAAAAGTAGCTTAGACCTTTGTTGTTTGTGGTGGGTTGCTTTATTTTTCTTGTACAATTTAAACAAAAGCACTGGTTTTGTACTTTATAGCTTTGTCTTCCTGAGACCTGCTTTTTAGGTTTGTTTGTTATTACACCCCAGTCCTGAGTGTCACAATTGGCTTTATCCATCACATGTAACCAATCAATGGTGTTTTGTTCTGTTTATCCTGACATAGAAAATATTAATTTACACTCCAGCATATAGTTAATTGCAGGGAATATGCTGGAAAAGATTCATATCTTGTGGTCACCATCTTTAACTTTAAGCACTTGCAGTTCTTTCAATTGTGAGTTTTAAAATTTTCACGATTAATCATATTTCTGATTGAAAGTACATGTAAAACTAAGAACAAGACACACTCTTTATGTGAAGAAGTGGGAGTATGTGATAGCTGCTAACTACCAATTTGGCAGTATGGGGTACATAGCCTCTCGTTTGTACTGTAATTGTTCTCATGTAATTCTTGGTTTTGTTTTGCAAGTATTACACTGGATGAACTCTGGACCTTAGGTATAGACCAAACAGGCCATAGCAGGTGAATGTTTCGTGCTATACTGTATCTGATTATGTAATTGGATGTAATTGAATTGTAATTATGTAATGTAATTCTGTAGTGAAATGTTATCTAACCTTTAACTATTGTGAGCTCAGATTTCAAGGAAACAATTTCAGAAATCATTTTCTATTACGTTTTGATATGTCTTAACATTCTAACTAACCTTGGAGTTGCCATGATCTGTATTAATCTTTCCAGGAGCAGAAGCCGGATTCTTTTTTTTTTCTTAACACTTTTGAAAATGTTTTTGTTCTAAGATCAGGTTAATTAACATCATACTAGGTTAATTAGACAGATATACAGTAATTTTACTAAGTGGTATGGTAGTTAATTTAATTAACAGGATACGATTTTACGAGTCTAGGACTCTATCAGCTGGCATGAAGCATGTTCATGATAGCTACATTTAGGTGTAGTTGTGTTAGAAAAATTCTCTCTTGTTCTAAATGGATTGTTTACCTTAGATGCCCACTTAGAATTGTATGTGCTTGGATCAGATATCAGTTGTAAACTGAGATGTTGCTTCTTTATTCTGTCTGTATGACTATCCTCTGTGACTATTTTTCCTCTCCCTTGTTCTTTCTATTTGTAAACTTTCTAAAGCTGTATCATTTTTATGATATTGTAACGCTGCTCTGTAGAGGTGAAAAGGATCCGATGCAGATGCAGGAGTCGTAGGCAGGTAAGTAAGCGTACAGAGCAAAACCAGGAGCTGAGTCGTAGTCCGAAGGCGAAGGTAGGTCGAGATCCGGTAAAGGCACTGGTGGAGAACAATCCAAAATGTGAGACAGAATCGTGGTCGAAAAGAGAGCTGCAGGGTCAAATCCGAAATAGGCATAGATAGCAAACAATCCAAGGGGTGAGACGAGATCCGAAGCCCGAAGGCAAAAGGGTAGACAGAATTCCAGGAAGGCAAAAGGGTAAGAAACGCTAGGCAGAGCAACAAGAAGAGAACTCAATAGCGAGGAAGTAGATTAGAATAGTATAAATAACCCGGCGTGCCGCACGGTAGAGCAATTGCAGGTGTGTTAACTCATGCGGCGGCGCTTCTGGTACTGATTAGCTCGCTTACGCGTTGATCTCTGCTGGCTGGTGGTCGTGACAGATATCAGTGATAAACTGAACACAGTATTCTAAATGAGGGGTTACTAGTACAATATAAATTTGAGCATTACTTTGAATTCTACATTAGCTAGTGCATGTACCCAAACATGTAGAAATAAAACTATCATTTGGTTAAATGGTTCCTTGAAACCATTGCATCTTGCCGCAGTAGGAGTCCTGAGAAGACTGCTGCTGATATTTTGCAATTTTGAATGATTTTGCCACTAAAAGTGCAAGTGAAATCATTACATCCTGTATGATTGCATGGACCATTATAACAGGATTCACCCAAGCACCTGTCCACTTCAGCGAATGCTCTGAGCCTGGGCACCAAACAGGCAACAGACTGTACCATTCAAGACTCCCTGTTGCTCTTTCACATTCAACTGTGTACACTTCTAATAGAGAGTTAGGCAACCCTAATTCTTGAGAGCTGGGCTCTTGCAAAGGTCAGAGGTAATAATGAACTTGATTAGTAAAATTACTCAAAGTCATTCAGGTTTGCGATGGAATGAAAAACAGAGCTCTAATACCCTTCTCTAATAATTATTAGATGCAGTATTATAATTTACTAGCGGATGCAGGCTCCATGATGGTACTCTTATATGTGCAGCAACAAACTCCATTCCAGCAGAAACAAGATTCAGCCAAACAATTGATTCCTTCTATCCCAGTGATAGAAAGTAGAACAGGTGTTTTTCTTTTTCCATTAGGAATAATTAAATACAATATAGTTATTAGAAATGATATTCTGTTAGAACAAGCCTGATTTTATTGTTATATCAAAGGGATTGCTGCACTGGCTGTCTGTCATTTGCAAGTTCAGT